AGGACAGGCCCGAATGAGATGAGGGGACAGTGATGGAGGGGAGACAGGTAGGGCTGGGGTTGGGGGGAGCAGGCAGAGATGGGGAGGGGACAGGCAGGGCTGGGGAGGGGAGACAAGGATGGAGGGAGGGCCTGAAGGGATGGGGCTGGGTTTGGGGAAACAGGGCAGGGCTGAGGAAGGGGAGGCACAAGGCCCATCTCAGACTGTGCTGGAGCAGTTTGGTGGGGCCAGGCCGGGGGCTGGGGCTGTGACCCGGGCTCTGGGGTAGCAGGGGGGCTCAGCCCTGCTGTGCTCCCCCTGACCCCCCCTCTCCTCCCGCAGGGGCAGCCACCTGACAGATGTGAGTACTGGAGGAGCCCGAGGAGCCTGGGCCTGCAGCCATAACGGGGACACCATGGAGGGGACAGGGTGGGCCGGTCACTGGGGAGGGCCTGCTTTGGGCTGGCCCRGTGCCTGGGAGCTGCAGGGCTTTTCAGGGTTGATTAACATCTCGCACCATTAAAAAAAATGAGTTAGCTGCTGTTTTCACATTGGAAAATTTTTCTCCAAGGCCCAGCATGGAGCCCTGGAATCAGTAGGACCTCTGTTGTGAGTTTAGATGAGGTTTTTTTTGCTAAGGGAGGGCTAGCAAGGGTGGGAGGGAACCTTTCCTGCCTGTGGAGGCTGCAGAGTTGCTGGAGCAGAACAATGTGACACTGGCTGGTGTCTGCAYTTCCACTCCTGAGCAGAGGCTGGAGGAGCTGCTGACGCTGCCCTCACTGTGTCAGAGAATGTGACTGAATTAGACCGAAGCAAACCCAAATTCCTGATCGTGCTTTTTGGGATTTCAATTGGGTTTATTTATATCTTTCCCCACAAGTGGCAACTTGTTGTTTCTGTCTCCTCCTGCCCAGATATCGATATGCCGGGATTTGCCCAACATCGAGGTGATCACATTCAGGTGAATGCCAGTCTGCCACCTCTGGAGAGGGCAGGAAAATACCTTTTCATGGGGATGGTTTCTTTCCCTGATGCTGGGGTTGTGTGTTTGAGCTGCCTGGCTCTTCATGCCCCATTTCTCAAGCAGCAGAGATACAGAAATGATTATCCCTCCCTAGCTCCTCTTCAGCTCCTTGAGAAAGTATTCCCTGTTTTGACAAGAGATAAAACCCCTTAGAATTGTTGCTCCTGGAGTTCTATTCCATAGTTTAGACAGGGATCTTGGYCTCTGTATGTGGCCTGTTTGCAAAGTGCTTGGTGAAATATTTCACAGATCTCTCAGAGCTTTTCCTTAATACACCCAACTTTCCCCCATCCTGGGAATCCCATGGAGCCAGTACTGGGGAATTCGAGCCTTTTAGCTTGGGAATCTTACGCTGGTTCTCCTTGGGTGGCTCTGAGGAGCTGCTACAGCAAAGGGGGCGGGTTTGGGGGGAGCAGAGGCTCTTTGTTGCTTTTGAAAGAGTGAGAGCTCTTTCAATTCTTCYCTCTGTTGACAAAGATGAAATGCCACAAGCTGTGGGCTGTCCCTTGCTGTGCTGTGCCGGGGTGAGGCTGTTGTGGAAGGGGAGCTGGGAAGTGCTGTGCTCCGTCCTGGATGGGGCAGCGAGGGCGGGATGGGCTCTGACTGTGTTTCTGCAGTGTGAACGGCATCTCGGACCTGGAGCCGCTGCACCAGTGCCAGAACCTGAGCGAGCTGTACCTGAGGAAGAACAACATCACGAGCCTGGATGAGCTGTTCTACCTGAAGACGCTGCCGCGGCTGCGGGTGCTGTGGCTGGCAGAGAACCCCTGCTGTGGGCCCGACCCCCACCGCTACCGCATGACGGTGCTGCGCAATCTGCCCAGCCTGCAGAAGCTCGACAACCAGGGTGGGCTCTGTTCCCCTGCAAACAGCCTCCCCCAGGCCAGGGCCACCTGGAAACCAGGGACCTCTTGGTTCCTCTCAAAGGCGTCCTTTGATTTTTCATAAAGTCAGGATGTATTAGGGGTTGAGTTAGACCCAGTGCTTCAAAGCTGTTTTCTCCCTTCCTCTTCCTTCTTCCCATCTGCTTCTTCCTCCTTCCCCATCCCTGTCCTCACCCATGTCTGCATCTACCCCTTCCCTTCCCTTCCCTTCCCTTCCCTTCCCTTCCCTTCCCTTCCCTTCCCTTCCCTTCCCTTCCCTTCCCCCTTGCCCATGCTGAGTGCCTCATTATAGCGCATTATAGACAGTACCACTAATTAGTGGTTTTTAGAGCTCTCTCCTTTGCTGTGGCCAAACTAAGGTTCTATAACTGGATCTGCTGCTGTAGAAAAGCTTCTCTGTTTTATTTTTTTTTTCCATCTGGTAGCAGCAGTTCAGTGGCTTTTGGAGCCTTCTTCAGAGATAAGAAATAGCAAARCATGTTTACATCCCTCCCTGACACCCCTTTCACTTTGAGAGGCYGGTGATTGCTTCCAGAATTTTGGTTTCACTTCAGGAGAAGGGTGATAGCAAAATGCCAGACATTTTTCGGACCAAGCCCCTGGGGTTTGGGTTTGTGCAGCAGCTGTGGCTGCCCAGTTAGAGCTGCCGTCCCCCTGGGCTGCTGCAGTACATAGCAACAAGSTTTTGTTGTGGCCTTGGCAGCTGTGACGGAGGAAGAGCTGTCGCAGGCCCTGGTGGATGGCGTGGAGATCACRGCCCCGCCGGCGCGGAGGAACGTGGAGAACGGCTGGTCCGAGAGCACCGCGTCCAGCGCTGCCGGATCCACCACGGAGCCCGAGAGCGAGCTGCTCAGCTGCAGCCTGGACGAGACCAAGTGAGGCCTGGGGAGCTGCCAGCATTCCTGGGCTCAACTCGTGGGTAGYAGGAAAGGATCCTGGTATTCCAAAGGGCCAGGCCGGCAGCCGGTGCAGCTCCTGTTGTTCAATGACTGCGGTGGAGCTGTGCTGGTTCAGTGGCACTGGTGGGGCTGGTTCTGTGTCTGCCAAACAGGCTCTGCTCTGGGGGGAGCTCATCAGCTGCATGTGCAGGCAGGGCTGGATCCTCTCTTATCTGGAAGCTGCAGTCCATTCCTGGAGTCCTCCAGYTGGATACTCCTTGCATGGTTGCCCAAGATGAGGAAGGACTGGCCTGTCAGAGGAAGATTCTCCCAGCAGGTCATGGTAACATTTGCTTTTCCTCCTTGTTTTTTAGCAAAACTCAGGAGGAGCTTGATATGAAGCTTGTTCCCAGGGAWAAATACTCCTTCTCCCCTCAAGAGACAGACTGCAGCCACAAGAAGAGAGTGAGTATATTTTAAAAAACAAACTGCTTTTCCTTGTGTGTGGGGATGAACCCCAGCACTGGAGAAGGATGTGAAGAACCTGGGATGTGCCCAGAGGAGGGGAACAGAGCTGATGCCAGGGCTGTAAGAAATGTCCAGGAGCRGCTGAGGGCTCTGGRTTTGTCTGATTTGGAGAGAAAGAGGCTGAGGAGTGACCTCATCCCCCTCTGCAGCTTCCTGGGGAGGGGATGTGTGGAGGGAGGTGCTGAGCTCTTCTCCCTGGGATCCAGTGATAGGAGACATGGGAATGGTTCAAAACTGTGCCAGGGGAGGCCCAGACTGGATGTTAGGAAGAGGAGGCTCAAACCATGGGAAGGGGCTGCTGAACAGGAAGCTTACATGGTTTCTCAGCCCCCTCTGTCAYGTAGCCTTGGATGAACCTGTATTTTGGTGGTTCAGCTGGGAATTGCTGAGTGCTGGACTCAGTGCTGTTGCATCAATCAGCAGAACAGGATCTAACCCACACKGCCTCACTCTGCATTAGCTGCCTAGAGCAGCACCACGAGCTCTGACCATTAAAGAAGGGGGAAATGGCCCCACATTGCCTTTGGAGAGGTTCAGGTTGGATGATGGGTGTAAGACTCTCCTAGAAGGACAGTTATTTAGGCTGTCAAATCTCTGGAGTTTTTCAAGGCACTGTTTGACAGAGCCACAGCCCGGTGTTGGCAGTGCTCCTGTGGCGGTGGCAGGGCTGGACTGGGGACCTTTAAGGGTCCTGTCCAGTGATTCCACCAACTCTCCTCATTCCTCAGAGCAGAGGGCTCCTGTCCTTTTGCATCCTACCCACGCTGGASAGTGAGGGCGGCCGCTCCTGAATGTGCCTGTGTGTAGAGARGCYRGGCTGGAGCATGGCTGGGAGCCAGAGTCCGTGGGGAGCGGATGGGTTTGTCCTGCATTCCAGCCCTGTCACGTGCCACATGCAGCCTCAGCCTGTGTTTGCCCCGAGGGCTCAGCTCTTAGTCCTGCTCCCATGGCTGCAGGTGGCTGTTCCCAACTGCTGCCAGTGGTAGTGGTGGTGGAGGAGGTGGAGTTCCTAGAAAGAGCAGGGGAAATCCAATGTCCTGGTCCCGGCTGGCTGGTACAAAGCACTGTCTGCCCTATCCYGACAGAACAACGTCCTGAATGCCATCCTGCTCCTCATGAAGGAACTGGACGTGGAGGGGCTGGAGATCATCCAGCAGACGGTGACGAGGAGGCTGCAGGCCTTCCAGAAGAAGGAGCTGCAGGAGGAGTGACAGCGCCCATCCCTGTTCCAGCCTTCCTGGAGCCCCAGCCCCATGGCGCTGTCCTGCCCCTACAGCTCTGGCTGCAGCCAAAGCCCTGCTCTGCTTCCCGTACCAGGGGCTGGGCTGGGATGCTTCTTCTCTGGGGATTTGCTGTGTGTGCAGCAGGCTCTGTCACTGTTTGGATCCTGCTGGGGCTCCTGGATGGGAGCTGCAGGCAGAGCAACAAAGCACAAGGGAGCAGGGCTGCAGCCAGAGGTGCTGTGTGATCCAAGGGGGAGCAGAGCTACTGAGGGCTGGGAAGGTCTCCAATCCTCAGCCAGCCTGGRGGTGCACAGCACTTCTGAGGGCAGTTTGTACCACAGAGATTTGGTTTGGTGACAGGGAGACATTGCCTGAGATGGTCACCARCAACTGTCTGGTGCAGGTTGTGAAGGTCAATGTCCAGTTWYTAATTTATTTTCCAGCTCCTGGCTGACTTCCTCAGGTCCATGCTGGCGCACACAGCGCCTGCTGTGATGGTCAGGCAGCCCAAAGGAAAGCTCAGAGCAGCYCAGAGGAAAGCTGGGAGCAGCYTRGGTGAACCAGAAATGACTCCCACATCCTGAATGCTCAGCTGTCCTCTCACCCCAACATTCCTTGCAGGCATTGAAGCAGCTTAAGGAAACATCCCAGTTAAAAGGCCCTGAGAGTTTCTGCCTGCTTTGCACAGCCATCAGGGGTGGGTGTTGCTCTTTAATTGATAAAACTGCATTTACCAAGTTTTATAGAGCTGTTAAATACAAACTCAACTGTTGTGACATACCAAATAAACCCAATTATCCCTCAAGGCCGTGTAAGTGRTGGCTGGAGTTCAGCAAAGGCCTGGCTGGGGGCACTGCTCCATTACCTCTGGTTCAGGGAGTGCTTTGTGAGCCCTGTGGAGCAGGAGGAGGGCTGCGAGCCCACGCCTTCCCGCTTCACTGCACTGCTCAGACTGTGAGCCTGCTCCCAGTAAGGCTCTGCAGGGACACTGGGCTCTCTGGAGCAACCACAGCAAGGGCAGGGAGCAAAARTGGCAGTGGGGAAGGCTCAGTGCAGAGCCACCTGGGTGGGATGATGGCTCCGAGACATGGAACATGAGCCCTCCATGGCGATGTGGCCTTTCCAGGGCCCCCCTCTCTGTGCAGTCCAGGCTGTTCTGCTGGGGAGGAAGGCTCCTCAGGGATGGTGACAGCTCTATCTCCACAAGCCTGTTTGCTTGACCTTGTGGGGAAGGGACACAGTCTGACCCTCGTCACTCCGGGGGAGATTGGCTGATGCCTTTAACTCCTCGAATGACCTTCGTTCTTGCCTTCTGTGTTAAACCCAGCTGCAGTTATGTGATTTATGATGTCCCAGACTTCCCTTGACAGCCAGGGCCTGGGAGACTCACCCTGCTGAGGGCGAGTCTTCTCCCAGGCTCCTGGCCTGTCCATGTCAGGGAACATGGGAGCTGTTGTTGGGGTAAACTGTACCCCCAGCTTTTCTGAAATGTGAGTGATCAAAGGAAATGTCCATCAGGACTTGGTCATGGGGCTGATGGAGCAATCGCCGTGCCCTTGAGGCCGCTCTGACACAATTTCTGAAGAAGCTGGGCCGCTCGTTGCCTACGTGACGTGTTTGTCATCCTTGGCTGCTGCTGGTGCTGCCCTCGGAGCTCTCAAGTGCTCCTTGCAGCATCCCAGCAAACCCCGGCGGGAGCCTGGTGCCTCCAGAGCCCTGGCAGCCTGCCTTCTGCTGCAGGATGCTCCTGGAGTTCTGCTCTGCCCTCTTTTCAGGGTGGGCTGGATGTGCCGGGAAGCCTGGGAGCCCAGTCACGTCCGCTCTGCTCATCCTGGGAATGCAGTGGCCGTGCCTGTCCATCTTCCCCYAGGAATTTGGGCCTGCAGGTGTTTTTTTTTTGTAGAAATGAGGCGTGAGGGCTGCAGCGACTCCTGTCCCTCAGTGTGCAGCTGGTTTGAGCCCRGGGACACCCCTGTCCCCATTCACACCCTAAACCGGGCTGCTGCAGGGCTGTGCTGCCGACARATTTTCCGTGTGACCTGCTCTCACCCTGCCCTGCCTCAGCCGGGAATATTGAGYGGTGAATGCAGATGAGTCCCAGCGGTGGAAAATGCCAGGGGCTGTGCAGATCCACTTCAAACCATCCTCAGGGACTCTGAGAGGCCMACAGCGGAGCAGGTGTGAGGTCCATGGCAAAAGGAAGGAGCGGGCTGGGGCTCCCCCAAAGTGGGGTAGCACATGGGGTACTGGAGGAGCCCATGTCCCACCCAGGAGATGCAGCTCCAGGAGAAGCCAGGTGTCAGCCTGGGGTCCCCAGGGCAGCCACTCATTCAGGAGCAGCAAGGCTGCCTCCATCAGCAAGGTCAGCTGCATCGTGTGTCCAGCTCTGGCAGGGAAGGGGCAGTAATTACCATCTTCTTCCAGAGCCTAAAATATGTTTAGCTGGGGGAAAAGCATAGAAATCATGGAATCATGGAATGGTTTTGAGTGGGAAGGACATGGGCAGGGACAGCTTGCACTRTCCCAGGTTGCTCCAAGCTCCAATGTCCAGCCTGGCCTTGGACACTGCCAGGGATCCAGGGGCAGCCACAGCTTYTCTGGGCACCCTGTGCCAGGGCCTCACCACCCTCCCAGGGAACAATTCCCTCCCAATATCCCATCTAACCCTGCGGCAATGGAAGCCATTCCCCCTTGGTCTGTCACTCCAGGCCCTTGTCCAAAGTCCTTCTCCAACTTCCTTGTTGGCTCCTTCAGGCCCTGCAAGGTCACACTGAGGTCACCCTAAAGCTTCTCCTCTCCAGGTGAACAATCCCAGCTCTCCCAGCCTTCCCTCCCAGCAGAGCTGCTCCATCCCTCTGCCCATCCTGGAGCCTCCTCTGGGCTCTCTGCAGCAGCTCCAGCTCCTCCCTGTGCTGGGCCCCAGGGCTGGGGCAGCTCTGCATGTGGGGTCTCACCTGAGCACAGGGGCACAATCCCAATCCCTTTCCTGCTGCCCACACCGGGCTCAGCCCGGCACAGGGAGGGGTTTCTGGGATGGGGCATGGCCAGCCCTCACCACCAGCACCCCAAACCCTTCTCCAGGGGCTGCTCCATCTGCTCATCCCCAGCCTGGATCGATCCCAGGGGCTGTCCCAACCCAGGGGCAGCACCAACACTTGGTGGAATTGAACCTCATGAGATTTCCATGGGGAATTCATTCTGGAGCATGGCCCTGTCCTTCAGGAGTGTCACTGCACCCTCAGTCCTGTCCCCTGCACACCTGCTGAGGGTGCCCCGATCCCTCTGGGTGTCACTGATGTGGATATTGGACATCACTGGTCCCAGTATGAGCCCTGGGACACCACTGGTCAGTGATGGCCACCAGGACTCTGAGCCACTGACCCTCTGCATATGCCCATCCAGCCAATTCCTTGTCCATCCATGGAATCCATCTCTGTCCAATGCAGAGAGAAGGATGTTGGGTGGGACGGTGTCCAGGCTGTACAGAAATGCAGATAAATGACACCCATTACCCTTCCTCTGTCCACTGGTGGGGTCACTCCGTCAGAGAAGGCCAGGGGGCAAATCAGGGGAACTTTCACTTGGGGMCAACTCCATGGGGAGGATAAAAGAACGTCTGACCCCAAAGCCTGTGATGTATCCTGGTGCTGGCGCTGTTGTGGAGGCTGGAGCCGTCAGCCTACAGCCCCAGGAGGGAAGTGGCCTGGGAAAGGGGCTCCCTTTTTCTGTCTGGCACAGCTTGAGTGYGCTGAGCTCAGCCCGGCCCGCACASTTGGCCGGCGCCCTGAGAAACTGCCTCACTCACAAGCACAGCACCACCCTAAAGCACTCTGGGGCTTCCCTCCAAGGTGGGAACACAGTGATTTTCCTCTGCAATTGTGAAGCCTTCCACAATTCCCAGWTGTGAAAGGATGCTGACCTTGCACCCACGGTGACCTGCTCAGGGAGGGGAAGCCGCCTGCGGTCCCACTCTCCCAGGCACTGAGGATCCACAAAACCAGGAAACCCCTCGGCCCAGCATTTAACCCGGCCTGGGAAAACCATCAGGTTCTGCTTTCCCCGCTCCCGCCCCCGTCCCGCCGCCCTTCCCCCCGCAATGACCACTCCAGGAGGCAGCTCTGGCTCCTGCCGCCGCCCTTCCCCCCGCAATGACCACTCCAGGAGGCAGCTCTGGCTCCAGCAGGTTTTATCTCTACGGAGAGGAGCAGCACCACGGGCGGTGCGGGGTCGGGGGCACCCGGGGAGCAGCGGGCACGTGAAGGACACGACGCGGTGACGGTCGCAGCCAAGCGTCATGCAAGGGACGAGGAGCTCGCCAGGACCCCCGTGCTCAGCCCTCGAGACCCCCATGGGGGATGGAGCTTCACTGGGGCTCAGGGGCAGCCTGAAGCCCCCGGACCAGCTCCGACCCGCTCTGGGATGGCTCTGCATCCTCCTYGCTCCCCTCCTGCACACGGGGCAGGCGTCTACAAGCAGCAGCAGTTGGCTCAGGCGGTCAAGCCGCTAAGTAAGGACTCAAAATACCCCATCATTAAATAATAATAAACTATTAAGGGARGATTAAGGGTCTGGGCTGCACGGCTCAGCTCAAGCAACTCTTCTGCATCCGCACAGGGACCAGAGCCCACAGCAGTGATTCGGGGCAGGATTGTGCYGTTCTGGGAGCCAGCACCAGGCTCTGCCTGCTGTGAGGGGTCGATGGCAAAGCTACAGGGCTACTGAGAACAATGGGGGACACGGTGCTCCCCCAGCAGCACGTGGGCACGGAGAGGACACGGCGGGGGCTACGGGTCAGGCCGGTGRCACTAGAAGCCCTTCTCGATGCTGAGGGTGCGGCGGGTGACGTGCTCCATCTGGCCCGAGATGTACTCGGTCAGGCTGATCTGGTAGTTGGCGAGCATCTTCAGCATCAGCCGCAGGTTCAGCCACCACTGCTCCTGGGGCAGCCTGTGCCTGTGCAGGGGACATGGCTTGAGAGGGGATGCGCCAGAAGGATCCCCCCAGGAGCCGGGGAGCCACCGGGGCAYGAGGACTTACTCAAAATCTGTGACCTTCTTGAGCTCCGTCACGGGGCTGAAGGCCACCACCTTCTTCCGCAGCCCGATGACGCAGGCCGTGTCTCCAGAGTTGGCAAACACACGCCCTGGGATAGGGACATTGCTGACCTTGGCCCCCTGGCCCCCAGCCTCCCCCGCCCTCCGTGGGACCCCCAGCCCTCGGCTCACCCTTGCTGTAGACTTGCTGCAGCTTCTCTGACATCCACAGCACCGCCTTCACTCCCAGCTTGGTGCCGTAGTTCCGGTCAAAGGGGGTCGGGGCTCCCCCCTGGGGACAAAGAAATGGGGATGTCAGGCCTGCCCAGCTCTCAGGGCYGGCGTGGCCATGTCACCCTGTCCCCTGTACCTGCTGGAGGTGGCCCAGCACRTTGATCCTGCAGTCAAAGATGCCTTTGCCCTCGGAGGAGTAGAGGTTGTAGAGGAACTCGGTGGTGTAGTGCTCGTGGCACTTCTCATTGCTGGGGGGCAGAGGGAAGGGCTTGGGGGGCTGCCCCTTCCTCTGGCACCYCCAGGGGCTCCCSCTTKGTTTYCCACAMCACCTTTTTAGTTYTYCCTRAGGCCCAGAGCCCCAGGAGGATSCTGGGGATGGCAGCAGAAGCATCCAGCCTCCCCACGGCCGAGCGCGTGCCCACCGTGTCAAACCTCACAGTGCCCAGGGAGCCTCTCTGGCCACGGCAAGGGCTCGGCTCYGGCCTCGCTCCCTGCCACGGGGCTGGGGCTTGCAGTGACTGTCCCCAAGGGCCCCCAACTCACCGCAGCACCAGCCCTCTCTGRATATCCGTCTTCATTTTGTCAGTCAAGTGCTCCACGTTGGCCTGCAAGGTGAACACTGGGATGCTGGCAGCCGTCCTGCAGCCCTCCCATCCTGCCATCCACCCACTTCTCAGGGCTCAGCCATGCTCTGGAGCCCTCCTTTCCCCAGTTTTCCTTCTCATTTCAGCCAGAGAGCCGCTCCTGCCCTGCTCACCTTCAAGTCATGGATGGTGAAGGGGTCTTCGTAGACGTAGGCGGCGTCGGCGCCCACGGCGATCCCAGTGACCGTGGACAGGTAGCCACAGTAGCCCCCCATGGTCTCCACGATGAACACGCGGCGCTTGGTGCCCGARGCYGACTGCTTGATGCGGTCRCAGCTCTGCACCCGAACAAGGTGGGGTCACAGCGGGGAGAGGCCCCTTTGCTTCCCCAGCACAGCACATCGGCCACTCCAAGTGACCACCAAAGCACGTGGCCAGAGCAGGGCAGCCCCGTGCGCGTCCCTCACCTCCATGGCGGCGTTGACGGCCGTGTCGGAGCCCAGGCTGAAGTCRGTGCCGGGCACGTTGTTGCTGATAGTGGCAGGGATGACGCACATGACAATGCAGAGCTCCTCGTACTGCCCGCGCGCCTCCACCAGCTGCAGCACCCCCTCGTACGCCTGCGAGCAGCCCAGGCATYGGGATCAGKATCAGGATTGGGATCGGGATTGGGATCACATCCCAAAGATTCCTTTGGGTTGTCCACAGTCTGCCCCAGCCCCAAGTAAACCCAGGGTCCTGCCGCACCTCGAAGCCGCCGATGACCAGCAGCCCCTGGATGTTGAATTTGCGCACGTTCTCCACGATCTTCTCCATGCAGGTCTTGGGCAGTGTCCTGCGACGGGGAACGGGGACAGACGGTGAGGTGAGGATGGTGGGGTGAGGATGGTGGGGTGAAGGTAGTGGGATGAGGGTGGTGGGATGAATATAGTGGGGTGAGGATGGTGGGATGAAGACAGTGGGGTGGGCACACCCCCTCCCCTACACCCCCATCCCCATGGCCACACTCACCTCTTGGTGCCCAGCATGGAGCCGCCGCGGCCCAGCCATCCCGCCACGTCATGCCAGCCCACCTCACGCACCTGTGGGCACCGGTGCCGGGTTAGGGGTGGGAAGAGGACCCCCAGTACCCCTCTCCAAGCCCAGCCCCATCCCCTGGGACACCCCAGGCTTGCTGTCCCCCTTACCTGCCCCTTGGCCAGGCCCTCGAAGCCATCGTTCACCACATAGATGGTGTGTCCCTGGCAGATGCCGATGCGCACAGCTGAGCGCACGGCAGCGTTCATGCCGGCAGCTGGTGCGCCCACGTTCAGGATGGCCATGCTGAAGGGGCTCTGTGGGGACAGGGATGGGGACAGCACATCCCTCTGTGTCCCTAGGGTGGGGATGACGTCCCCTGCTGCTCCCCGTCACCTCTCACCTTCTCCTGAGCTGGTTTCTGGTGCGCCAGCAGTTTGTAGATGTTCCAGTTGTTCTCAAAGCTCCTGCAAGGACACAGTGACATGTCTGGCAGAAGGGGGAGTCTCCCCAGTGCCCCTGGGGTGTAACTGGAGACACTTCAGGCTGCAGGAGCCAATGGTTTCCCTACAAAGAGAAGACCCATCCAAGAGGGATGTCCACCCCAATCCCGATCCCTGTTCCTCACCTGCCACGGAGCTGGATKGCCTCCTCAAACCTCTTCTCATCCATGGCCTTCTGCACATCCTTTGTCTTGGGCCGGGGGAAAGAAGCAGCACTGTGACACCCCAGCTGGCAGGGACAGGAGTGCGATCCCCCGCCCCGAATTCCCAGTACTCACCACCTGGACGCACTCCATGAGCGGCAGCCGCACCGACTGGTTCCCGGAGAGGCTGACCACACAAGCTGGGGTGTCCGGTGTGGCCTCCAGCAGTGCCATCACCGCCTCCATTCCCATCTTGCTGCTCTGCAAAGGGACGGGGGCACCTGTGACACCGGGACCACCAGTGCCAGCTGGGTGGAATGCMCAGGGATGCTCCCACAGGCTTGGGAACTGTGTGGCTGCAGATTCACTGCTGGAAAGCTGATGGTTTCATTTAAAAATACATGAAATTTGGAGCAAACGAGGAGAAACGGGTGCAGAGCATAGGGGGGCCGAACCCACCCCAGCCTCATCCTGGCTGCCAAATCCTTCCCACTGGGCAGAGGGAGGGCAGGAGCAGGGATCCTCCTCTCTGTATCCCGCCCAGACCTACCAGCACGCGGTCAAAGGCGGACGGGGTCCCTCCGCGCTGCACGTGGCCGAGGACGGTCACCCGCGTGTCGAAGCCCAGGCGCTGCACCACCAGCTGCAGGGAACAGGGGCCATCAGAGGGGCTYGGTGACCCGAGCCACCCCTGGGGTGGTGCCAGGGCAGTCACTCACATCCTTGACGTAGTTGGAGGAGATGGGTTTGCCGCTGCGGTCGATGGCACCCTCAGCGATGATGATGATGTTGAGCCGCGAGCCCCGGCTGCGTGTCTGGCACGAGGGGAGGATGAATGGCTCAGCCAGAGATCGGCCACGGTTCAGCCACAGCTCGGCCACAGTTTGGCCACAGCTCGGCCACAGCTCGCCGCGGGCCACGTGTGGCGCCCTCCCCTCCCTGCCGCCCCGGGGGTGGCTCAGGTCAGCGAGCCCCCGAGCCAGCGCTGCCCCTGGCACGCGAGGGCTGGATTTGCGCTCGGCTGAGTGCCCCGGCTCACGGGGACAATGGCCGCGGCTCCCGAAGCTTCGCGGGGCTGGGCACCGGCCGAGGGCTCAGCCTGGGGACTCCCGGAGGGGAACAGGGGATGGGGCCRTGGGAACACCCCCTCACCTCCCCAAGCCTCTCGCACATGAGGTCCTCCCAGCCATCCTCCGGAGGYGATTCGGGAATGAAGAGCCAGTCGGCGCCCGAGGCCAAGCCAGACACCAGTGCCAGGTACCTGGGGGGACATGGCGGTGGCAGTGCCAGGCCCGAAACGTGGCCCCCTGTCCCACCCATGGGCTTCCCCACCCACGGGGAGCTTACCCGCAGTGCCGACCCATCACCTCCAGCACGAATGTCCGCTGGTGGCTGCAAGGACATGGCAGGGAGAGAAGGAGGTGGGTGTGATGTCCAGGGCAGTGCAGCCCCCAGCCCCCCGCCCTGCCCATTCACCTCTGCGCCGTGGTGGTGATGGCGTCGATGACCTCCATGATGCGGTGCAGCGCCGAGTCGGTGCCGATGGTCATGTCGGTGCCGCAGAAGTCGTTGTCGATGGAGCCCACCAGCCCCACGATGTTCAGGCGGCAGTTYTCCCGCGCCACCTGCTCGCTGATCTGCCCTGGGGGGACACGGCCACCACACCGGTTACTTCAGAGTGCTCACATCCCCACCATCACAGAGCCCAGCCCTCRCCAGGGTCAATCCCAGGGTGACCCTCTGGACTTTGAACGCCTCCACCTGCCCATGTGAGGGCTGGCAGGGGGCTGACCCACCGTCTCGGACCAGCTCGTCCAGCAGCCCAGCCCACTCGGAGCGGAAGATGTCGGCACCGGTGAGGCTGCCGTCGCCGCCGATGACGCACAGGTTGGTGATGCCGTGCTCCACCAGGTTGCGGGCRGCGCGGAGCCGGCCGGCGCGCGTGGTGAAGGCCTTGCAGCGGGCGCTGCCGATCACCGTCCCGCCCTGGGGACAGAACGGGATGCGTGGCTTGTCACGCGTGTTTGGGGGGCCGGGATGTGGGGGTCCCGTGGCCCCACGGTGATCCTCACCAGYTGGATGATGTTGGAGACGCTGAGCCAGTTGGCCTGTTTGATGTTGTCACCCCCCTCCACCAGCCCCTCGTAGCCCTGCGGAGAAGCGGAGGGTGGAGGTGAGGGGTCCCCCGGCGCAGGGGGGTGGATCCCCCCAAGCCTGGTGGGGAGCAGGGGGGACCCCGACCTCATAGATGAGGAAGACCTTGGCTCCCACGTATATCCCCATGCGGGTGACGGCGCGGACGGCAGCGTTCATGCCTGGAAAGGTGATGCGAGGTTTGGAGCATTCCCATGGGATCCTGCGCCCCACAGGGGATGGGATCCCACAGGTGACCCCGAGGTGTCTCCTCGGCCGGGGGAACCCCGTGGGACCCGGCGCCACACAGGGAACGGGATCCTATAGGTGACCCTGAGGTGTCCCCTGGAGTGGGCGGGGAGCCACGTGGGCTGAGACCGGGCAAACTCAGCGCACGGCCGGCCCGCRGGTGAGAAACTGCCCGGGAGCGAGTTCCTTATCCCGGGGCGGGGGAGAGACGGGGACCGACACACCCCCGCCGTGGGGCTCCCCCCGTGGGCCCCCACCCTCCCACGGAAGGTGACGGGGGCGGCGCGGCGCCGCGGGTGGGGGGCACACGGGAGGGGGGTCCCGGTCCGCCCGGCCGGGGAGGAGCGCGGGCCGCGGGCTC